TTGAATTGGAAGAGTTCAAGTGTGTCTTCAGGGGTGAATGAGTTAGACAAGAAATGATCTATCCAACAGTCAAAGTAGTGGTATACCTTTCTATAGATGTGCCATTCTGTATCATCCAAACGTCGGCGTACGTCCGGGCGATCAGTGCGGCAGCGACCAGGAACATATACCAGGCCTGTACAGCATAAACATCAAATCATCAAATCAAAGCATGTAAACCCCACGTATCAAAACACATTTTGTAAACTACTTGTACAGCAAGCCCAACAAATTTCTTATTTCTATGTAAGACAGGCAGTTACAAACTGAGAGCGTAAAAAGCAGTGATACAATGTACAGTAAAGTGTACCTACTGTACACAGGTTTAGTGTGATTTCTTGCTGTATGTAACAAAGTAATGTTAAGTCGCCTGTATTATGTGAAAACCCAGTGGAGGGAGATCTCCCACACTGGACTTTTAAGTGGTTGGCAACCCTGTATATAAGTGAGAGAAAAAATATATCTTTTTGTTGGTTTATACAATAAGGTAAAACAGAAGATAAAACAAATTGCAGTCCCCAGTCCCCGAAACCTGTTTCATCCATTCAGGCCCTTCAGAGATATAGTGGGATATGTATGCATCATGTATGTACAGTATACTTGTTTAAAAAATGAAAATTAATAGTCTCGCTGATTTATGTACCCATATGTTTTTACAGTGCAGGAACAGACATATTACAATGTCCATTGTATCATTATGTAGAATATAGGGGTAATTTTTTCAAAATCACTAGTTAAAATGTTTAACTGTGTTTTACTGTATAGGTCCCAATTATCCAGACAACTCCTACTGCCTGAGTGCCTTTCTAATGTTATCTGAGGTAGCCGCCTTACCTCTGCTGTCAACCATCCTGGAATGAGGACCTTGAGAATTCTTACTAGGCGCCTGTAATAGATATCAAAACAAAATGTTAACAAGTTAATCTTGATACACTCAACTGAAATATCAGATAACTGTTGTAGACATTAACTTCAGAATGATTGGCGCTTACTGTCACCAAATTTGAAAAAGTAACCCCAAACAAATAGTTTCTGAAAATTCATGCAAAAATCTAGTGACTTTATACCTTTCACCAAAAAATCTAAATTAATTACTGAGAAGCGGGAAACTTTCGCCTTTTTGGCCCTCCATAACGATGGCGAATTTATCATAAATCCTGCAAATACAAGTAAACAACATAATTAACATATTAATCAGACGTGAAGTGCGAAATTAACACTGAACACTGGACGAAAATTGATTTCATGGGCGAAGGTTTGACAGGGCGAAAATTCCCCGATATATAGTAATTCAAAAACATGTATATAATTATGCTTAAAACAAACTGTCTATTTAAAATAATATTAAGATAGAAAACCGATTTTAATTTTTTGATATTAAGATTTTACAGCAATAATTTTACCCAAAAAATACTGCATCGACTGCTGCCCTCTCCTTCTTTTGGCTCACACTCTGTAACATAAAACAAGTATTTATTGTAGTCTACACTGTTAAAATACATCAACAATACCTCATGTTATAAAGCATCCTTGATATCAAGGGGTTACGCTCACTTATGCTCTCAGATCTACACCAGTGGAATATGTCATAGCAAAATTGAAGGCTCGGTGTCTGCCACCTTGTGGATGAGACAAGGAGACTAGGTTGATCCTTTGATGTACATCAAAAGAATCCTGCGGTCATGTAATGATGAAACTAACCGTACTGGCTTTGAAGTCTGGTGTTGCTCCTCTGTAATCTTAAAAGGACAGGTATATCAGACATAGCGATTGGTTAGGGTTTGTTTTACCCGAGACCAATCAAATAGCTAGCCAAATGCCTTCAATTTTGTTATAACATAATCCAGGGGTGCAAAGAGGCTAATTGAACATTGGAGTGTCAAGCTTAAGGATGATTATAAAGACTACTTTTGTATCCTTTTTCATTCACTACTCAATACTGGTTCAGAATTTTTCTTTTCCTCTAAGATAGAGGTGTAAAATTTCAGACACAGTATTGAGCGTACCGGTTTGCAGGCAGTTTTTGAAAAATTCACAAGCTCACCTATAGCTATATAGTGTATTTTGCAATTTAGTAAATATTGAGAACTTTCACTTGTCCTGACGGTCCCAGATAACATCTACTAGACCCAGGTGTCAGGTTAGTGGAATTGTACACCCATGTAAATCTTACATAGAAATAGGTACCCCTGTCATAACTCACTACATGTATTACCAAAAGACAAATGGATGTATAATATAATGCAACAAATTAAACCAAATGACACATAATGTCCAGAGACATACTTACCTCATGTATAACCACTTTAATATCTGCCTGTTTTCTAAAATAGAAAAAGTATGTGATGTTACAAGATGAACAAATTATTTCATAGAACAGTCGTAAGAAAGCTATACTCATGGTCAAGACAAACTTTGGAGTTAAAAAGTTAACCAAATTTCAGTATATCACACTCTACCTTCATCAAGATGCACAAGTATAGCAAGTTTATAGAGCATCATATGCTCCAGACAATTACAAACTTCGGAATTAAAAAAGTTAACAAAGGGCCATAACTCTGTATAACGTTGGGTGCCAGACACAATTTTATTAAGCTGTACTCTACCTTACAGAGATACACACATGTAAGTATAGCAAGTTTGGTGAGCATATGTCAAATCACAAGAAAATTATGCTCAAGACAAACTTTTAATAAAAAAAA